CTATCTCCAGCTGTCAATGGGCAAGAGGCGGGGTACACCCTGGACAGGTCTCCAGTCCATCACAGGGAAACACAGTGACAAACAGGACAAACCACCATTTACGCCCACACTCACACCTAAGGAGAATCTAGAGAAGCCAATTAACCCAACAGTCATGTTTTTGGACTGTGGGAGGAAGTCGGAGTATCCAGAGAGAACCCACGCATGCTCAAGGGGGAACATGAAAACTCCATGCAGAAAGACCCTGGGCCAGGAATAGAAGCCAGAACCTTCTTGCTGCAAGGCAGCAGTGCTACCCACTGTGCATTATAGACAGACTAAGATTTTTTCAGTGCAAAAAGTTTTCTATTTTTTTATTTTGTTATAGTTGCTGCTCTGAGTGGGTCGCTCTGTCAGCTAAAGGCATATTTTAATGAATAATTGACAATTATTCCAATAATTGATTTAATCACAATTAATTGTCTCAGCCCTACCGAGCACTGATCAAAACAGAGAAGAATAAGAAAACATCTAACAAAAGATTGAGGTTTTTATAAGGTTTATAATAGACTCAATAAAAGGGATAGGCTAGATTCATGTGATTGGACAAATTTTATTCAAATTAAGTTTTATTTAAACAACTTCAATCAGTTAAAACCATCCAACCAACTGGGAACTTCCCTACAGTTTAAACTGTGTTATTACACTACCAAAGAGGAGCTCTTCCTGCACCCTAAATGCACCAGGCAGTGTTATCACTCATCCTTCCTCCCAGCAGCTCTAAGACTTTACAACAATCACTGTTCCCAACGACCTTAGAAAGTTGCAACAGTCATGATGATTTTTACAGTTTCTATCTCAGTCAGGTAAATAACCTGCTGCTGTCATTTTGCACATCTCTGATGATGCTGCTATTTTCAAATATCCATTACTGTAAAAATGTCCATAGCTGTATATTGGTTATTTATCTCCAGTTGCACAGTTTTAATGTTAAAAACACATTACAGTACAGGATTTTATTTCTTTATTTTTTAACTCTTCACTATTATGTTATTCTTATACATTTTTAAGGTCCACATTTCTGTGACAATTTCTATAGTCTTTTTGCTGCTGTGAACGCCAGAATTTCCCCACTGTGGGACAACAAAGGAATTTTCTATTCTATTCTATTCTAATAACTTAAAAAGTAAATAACTTCAAAAGATTGAACTACCAACATTAGGTCCTGCTAAGAGCATAAGGAAACAGCAGATCCTCAGAGAGCCCAGACTAAGGGACTTAGTACAAGACACATAAAAAAAAGCTTTATTTCATGTATTTATATGCTATATCATACATCAGTCATTATGCAAAATTAAAAAAAAATTGTCCTTGACGTAGATAAATTGCCAGACTTTAAAATGCCTTTCCTGAGTGGGATACCTAATGTTTTACAGCATTTTTGTTGTCCATCCTATTTTACATGTTACCACATTTAAACTGCAGTTAGGAGGAAATATGACGACCATAATAAAATCATTATTACTTTAGATCCACTGATGTAGAACTCGCTCAGGGCCTGAGCGGAACTTGAATTTGGTTATCTCTGGTTGTCCCCTAATTTAAATCTGTATCTCCAAACTCCTGCTATTTCCCCTAAAACATTTTAGTCCTTCTAAAGATCTGACATCACTATAGGTAACGCTTGCTGTAATCTGTTGTGAATCACAAGTAGTTGTGTGGATGAGATTTCAGCACAGATAACCTCACACACACAAACACACCCTGAGACTTTGCTCTGTGGCTGCAGATGTTAAAACTAACCACTTTATGACCTTTAAATGTTATTTTCAGTCCGATTAGAGATTAATTATTCCTGAAAACTCTCAGAATTAAAAAGAAAAACAACAGCCTGGTTGGTTAGAGCCTCCTGTTCTTGATTTTATCAGTTTTGTTTTAATACTTCCTGTTAAAGTGTCAGGTCAGCTACCTGTGATAACACCCCCCTGTTTTAGTAGTTTCTACCGCCCTCTGCTGGCTGAATTAAAGCAAACCACTTAAGGAACTGGCTTGGGACACCACCTTATTTAAACACCAGCAAGAAATAATAATGAAAACAAATGGTAATAAAGAGTAGAATATATACAAATTAGGTTTAATTTGTTGGATTTTGGAATTTAAAGGTAAAATAAACTTTGATAATCTTTTTAAGCTTTGTTTAAAGTGGGCAAATATGGTTTATTCATTATTAAAACTCTATATAAACCCCTTAATTGGCTGAATTAGATGTATTGATAGCCAGACCAACAGTTAGAATAATCGACCCTGTTTATTGTGCAACCCCGGAAGCAGAAGTAAATGAGTTGGAAGGGACGGCTCTGACAGGTTTCACTTCTCTTTGAACCAACAGCTACAAACAGTGTGTTGAGCGTGGTTTAATGAGAGGGTTTTTACTCTCCTGAAACTCTTTCAGGACAGCTGAATGATGAGAGAGCAGAGCAAATCTCAAAGGGTGAGTAGTTCCCCTCTTTCTTTAGAAAACAAAATCACTGTGATCCTCCCAGAAGTGGGACCTTTTGCCTGAAACGTTGTTCATGGTTTCATTTGAATGAATAATGAATCTTTTTGAAGTCTGCTAATATGATTAAGCCATTCTTCAATAGAGCAGAATCTCAAAAAAAGTTTAGTAGAGGTTCTGATGTTAAGAAGCATTTTATTACAAGTGATTTATTTTTAAGTCATACTTTTCCACTGATAATCCTGGGCAACAAAAGAATATGCTTCCTGCCTACTGGGTGATGAGTAAAACAAAGTGCACTGGCATGTACAAACATTCAAGTTGTCTAAAAAAAATCTAAATGTTTGATAAAAGTAAAAAAATAAATAAAAATGGAACGGATTGGAAAAAGAAGCTTTGAGTTGAATTTTTGAAGTGCTGCATAGAAGCTAGAAATGACCTTTGTTCCACATCTTGGGACTTTCCTGAGAAACAGTCTAACCAAAGAAAATCCACTTTAGGTGGGGGATGATCTAAACCTTAGACTCAAGGGTTTAGGAGCTACATCTACAGGTTCAGTAAAGGTGTATAAATATTGAAAATGTACTGCGTTTCTGTATAAGTCTTACTAAAAGATCCTTAGATTTGATTAAGTAGTTCTAAAATAAAATTAAGAGAATAAAAAAAAGGAACAATAGACAGGAAAAAGAAACGGATGAGCTTTGTTTGCACAGTGACTTTCACTATTCAGTTCTTGCTGTAGCGACTTCCCCAACAACTGAATAAACTAAAGGTGAGACTTTGTTTTTCCAAAAATTATCCGTTTCTTTTCTCACGTTGACACTTTAATGGTGAACTTCTTTGCATGTTTGGGGTTTCCATATTCCTGGATAGTGCATGCTTATTGTAACTTGGTGAAACAGTTAAGGATGTTGCAGATATCATTTATAACTGTCCAAACCCTGAAACTCTGAAGCACTGCAGAGTCTCTATTAATTCCCTGCAGAATATTATTACATGAAGGTTAAAACAGTACCAGAGCTTTCAATATGATGATTCACATTCATTTATTTGAAAGAAGAATAAAATTACCAAGACTAAAACAAATAAAAATAAAAGGACTGTTTTATTTACTTTCTTTTTTTTAAGTTCAAATCCAAAATTATTTACTCTCTCAACCACAAACAGGATCAAAATGTTTCTGGTTTAGCTATTATAGAAGTCTCCTAAGCCTCCTAACGGTTTGTGCTCCACCTCACAGCACAGAGCTTCCTCTGTAAAATGGCTGCACTGCTGCTGCTGCTGCTGCTCAAATAACCTGCTGAAACTTGCTGAAGCAGCCTGGACTATCAAACAGGAATCTGGGAGGATTCTGATAACAACCCTGCTCAAAGCAAAACAGAGGCTTAACACCTGCACACGATGTTACCATGACAACCACTTATCTGTATACACTAAGGTAACTGGGATGGGACAATCATCATTTCCTTCAGTGCTCCCCAAACCTTTCAGCCTGTGACCCTAAAAATAACAACTCAACAGAGTGGCGACCCCCTAAAAATACATATAAGCAGCTAATTCTGTTATTATTTATACATTTAAAGTAAAGTAATATTAATTTTAAAACATCCACACTTTTAAAAATAGCGTTTGATGGATCATTTTAAAGTATTTAGTGGTGAGGATCCCCACCTGTCATGTGAGAGACTAAGGTTCGATTTCCTGATGGGGAGCTTGACTGTTAGTTCCTATTTCAATAAGCTATGTCTTCATTACATCATGTTGTTTTGCCGGGTTCTGCTGGAGATTTCTTCCTGTTAAAAGGGAGTTTTTCCTCTCCACTGTCGCTACAAACATGCTTAGTGTGAGGGATTGGTTTACCTTAGATACACTTTAAACTTTAAATCAATTTGACTATATGATCTGGTTGAACTGTAAAGTGCCTTGAGATGACATGTGTTGTGAATTGGCGCTATAGAAATAGACTGAATTGAATTGAACAACTTTTTGGATGAATGGATTAATAATCGGATAGCAAAAGGTGACTGAAGGGACATTATATACAGAATTTAAAACCAGTGAAGCCCAAACTTTGCTGTTTAAGGATAAGGATGCTAGATTGATCATAATGACAGAGAAAAAAAGGCCTTTCAACTTAGATGCAAGATATATACGAATATACTTATATGTTTTGTTATGGGGTTGCAAGTATGTTGCACTCTTACTGTTGGGGTCTCAGGGTTAAAATGCTAACCCTCCCTGCTGTAAGGCCAACTCTGAAACAAAAACTGTACTCTAATACTATTTACCTGATAAAGCAGAGTAATGGTTACAGAGATCAGCGCTGAGGGCCCAAATGGTTTTCATAAAGGCCCATCAACATGACGAAAACATGACGACTCATGGGTATGAGTATTTATTGACGGGACGAGACTAGAATAAAAATGTTAGCAGGTGGTCTGTCAGACCTTTAAAATGCATAATTGTGCTAAGCAGTATGATGCTGCATCCTGTTTGGTTACACCGCCCACCTGGCATGCAGTGGTGCACATTCTGCATGACCACAGATGGACCATTGCAGCAGCGGCAGGTGCTTAATTCTTACAAACTCTGCTCTTCCCTTGTGTGTCTAAAAGCATTCCTTTATCGTACATTTTGTTAGCTCTTAAGTCTGCTCTTTTAACTAATATGATGTGTTGAACTAGATCTGCTATTTTCACAAACTTTGTGAGACACTTCTGTATAAAGTAGGACATTCATTCGTATACAAGTTTGTTTTAATTTTTCAGTTTTCTGACCAACAGCAATGATGAACTGCACAGTAGCATTTTTTATTTGAAAATTGTAAAGGT